GCATAACCAAGAATGTTAATTTAAATTCAGCATATAAGTTAAATTTCTACCCTTAAATGAGCCTACAAAATGGGTTAGTATTACCCGGTTAATCAGTCTGAGTTGTCCATGCGGTATCCAATCATCAACGGGCGGTCTGGTCACACGTGTCACATCCCCTGTATGATGGTATTCGTAAGGCAATGGGCAGCTTCCACACCCCGGGTACACAGGCAATAGTCCTGGCTGGAGTCCACGTGTTTAGGTCCTCGTGGCTCGAAGCATCTTAAAGTTGCTGAGATTGTGGCTTTTAGGTCATCGCGGAGTGAACATTTAAAATAAAAAAAATAAAAGAGCCTAAGCTAGGCTTAACCTAAAGAACCCTGAAACAAAAGAACCTTGTCAAGCGCACGAAATACTAAAGCAGAATACGAGTTCCCTCGCCTGAAGTTTCAACTTACCATGTGGTTATCATGGGTTCAAATTTTATGCCCCTTCTGTTGATGGGAGTTGTGGCATATTATAATGCTCTGCCGGAGCGAAGTGCAACCAAAAAAAAACTTATTTTCTGTAGAAAATTCCCTCACATCCTTCCTGATCTGAGGCTTGTCGTGGAAAAGAAAGATGATTTTTCGTGCGGTGACACAACTATTCGCATCCCGAATACCTCGAGACATAAGTCATCGGTACGCGGAATCGAATCAATCGATTTAATGATAAAATACCATTACAAACTAAATGTTAATTGTAGAATTAACATTTTTCCACAAGGAGCGAAACGAATATATTCACTTTATTTTTAGGGATGAATTCCCTGAAAGAAACTATCAAAACTGCAAATTATATGCTAATCGATCAGCTATCGATACCAATTAATACGATCTACAGATTCCGAACTAACAAACATGTCATCCCTATTACATCACAGATGCAAAAACCATTGTTCCTTTCATATAACGCTGGCGAAAGTCAAGACTACTCTGTATTATACAGCCTAAACAATTGATAAATTTATTATTTTTATATTAGTATTGAATAATTGGTTGGCTGTATTAATTTTATGATTAATTTAATGCTAAACAAAGATTACAAGTCAAAGAAATGAAATTTATTCATAATTTAATAATCATGGACATGCGTTGCGATTCTGTAACTATTTATATGAAGGAAAGTTTAAAGTTCGGATTTCTGAACGCAATTTAAAGTGACATTGGGGTTGACATTTGAGGTTATCAACCCTTCTGTTTATTATTGTTTACCAATGATTTGATTTTACACTCAAATTAGCTCATTGATACAAAAAAAAGTGTTACATAATCATCATCTATGCACTAGGTAAAGGCGAAAACTAGTTTGGCACTTCTGTGGCCCGATACTGCAGTGAGGGATTACTATATGTCCGTCTTACTCCAACTCGCTCATGTACAAAATGTAGCCGCACCACTCTGCCATCGTCATCAACACAATGGCGATATGACGAGGTGCGCGATCCTCGGACGGACAATAGTAATTCTACCTGCGCCTCATTGATAATAATAATTTGTGTATGTACCTGCCTCGCATGGTTTTTGTTCGCCGTTATTACTTATATGTTTTGTTAATGTAATTGGGAAATAAATAAATAAAAAAAATGTTAAAAGATTATCCTATCCCTAAAAATATCAAAAATATAATAAGCTTCTTAGTTTTGGCAGGATATTACAGAAGGTTCATGCCAAATTTTAGTACCCTAACACAACCTTTAACAAAACTCTTGAAAAAGGATGTTCCATTTAATTGGACAAGCCTTCAACAAAATTCTTTTGAAACTTAGTTGAGGGGTTTATTTAGTTTTATCTTTTGAAACCCTTAAGAAAAAACTTTGTGATTTGCCAATTTTAATTTATTTTAATTTAATCAACCGTTTAACTTTACTACAGGTTAAAGTTAATGAATTTGTCGTATTCCACGATGATAACTATAAATGTTATTATATATGTACAAAAGAAAACTATTGGGATGAATGTAATTATGAGGTATATTTTAATTTACTTAATAATATAAAAGAATATTTGATAAAGGAAAAAGAAAGTGAGTTACATCTTACTCATCTCGGAGATAGATATGATCATTTAGATTATGAGAAATCTAGAATTATGTTAAGATATATATTTAGAAATACAAATATCAAATTATTTTTATACAATAATACGTTAATAACTCCGACTCCAAGTGAAATTCAAAATATTTTAAAAGAAATGCATAGTAGTCCTATCGCAGGTCATGCAGGTTTCCATAAAACATACAAAAGAATAAAGGAAATTTATAAATGGCAAAATACGAAAAATGATATAAAAGATTTTATTTCATGTTGTGATTCGTGTCAACAGAATAAACTTGTGCGAAAAAAACATCGAGAACCTATGATAATAACGTCTACTGCAAACGAAGCGTTTGAAAGAATTAGTCTAGACATTGTAGGATCATTTCCATTAACAATCAATGGTAATAAGTATACCTTGTAAGCCAGTTAATACGCTATTCATAAGGCGTTGAAAAGTTGCGGGAGCATTTTTTAAACCTAACGGCATTCTATTATATTCAAAGTGACCTTGTGGCACTGTGAATAATTTTTGATCTTTAGGATTAGGATGCAATCTTTAGGATGCATTTTAATTTGATGAAATCCTGACGCTAAATCAAATGTTGTGAAATATTTAGAGTGACCAAGTTGGTCCAGTATTTCATTTATTTGAGGCAAAGGATAAGAGTCTCCGATACTGACCTCGTTTAACTTCCAATAATCTACAACTACTCTCCATTTCTTTTGTCCTGAAGCATCTAATCTTTTAGGGACCACCCAGATAGGTGAGTTCCAAGGAATATTATATGGTTTGATAACACCTTCTTTAAGCATTTTGTTAACTTGTTCATTAACTTCTCCCTTTAAGGCTTCTGGATATCGATAACTTTTGACATTTATAGGTACTTCCGTTTTTGTATGTATCTCATGCATAACTACATCGGTAGAACTTAATTTACCTCCGTCTAAATGAAATATATGATTAAGTATATTCTTTACACAATTCTAATAATGAGTTTATTTCTTCTCTATTTAAATGTTCAGTACGAAGAGAATTTTCTAGTTTTTCAAGACGATCACTATTATAATTTTTATTAACATATTTTGTATTTTTATCATCTAACAAAAATAATAATAATTAATATATTTTCATTTGAGATAACAAAGTCAATTTCTTCTATATTTAATCTAGGAATAGGGAACGTCACGTCATTATCAGTTGAGTTAAGTACAGTCGAAATGGCTTTATCATTATATATAGTGATAAGACTTGGACATAAATATACTCCTATAGTTATCTCCTTTCGTGGGACAATCCCATGTTTAATTTCCTTATAGTTTATATAGTTATCTTTATAGGAATAACACATTCAGTTCTTGCTTTTACTGTTAAGTTTAATTCAATATCTTTGTGTTTATCGTCTTTTTTTCGTTCATCTAGTAATTTAATTTCGTTATTCGCTAATTTTAAAGTTTCGGTGCTACAATCTATGGTGATATGTTAAATAAATACTCCTTTGTATTTATTTAACATATCACCTCCGATTATGCCATTAGTACTAATTGGGGAAATTATCATTTACAATGTGGAGCATTAATTTTATATTTCCTATGAACTCCAATTCAACATACCCTAATGTACTAGTAGGAATGTCTACCTTATCTGTCCCTTAAAAAACAGCTAAAATATCATAATGAACTTCAGCGTCTTTTGGTACATACATTTCTTTAATGAGGCTAATCATTGCACCCGTATCTACTAAAAAGTTAAGTTTCTTTTCATTACTCATTATTGTTAATGAAGCGAAATAACACCTATTTATTGAGGTTATGAGCCCTTCTATCAAACTATTGCCCATTGGTTGGCTCGCACCATTGGATTAGTTTTTTTTATTCGAACTAGTGCTAGCAAAAGCATTATTATTTGAATTGCGATTATAGTTATAATGATTATTATTATTATATTTTGGATCATTCCGTGATTTTTTTTAAATGAAAACATTCTTCTTTAATGTGACCTTTTTTCTTGCAATAATTGCAGAATTTATAAGTTTGTTTAGATAAAGAACGAACTCTACAATTAATAACCGTATAACGAAAGTAACCTTCAGTTACTTCGTGATCATGGCGCTTGCAACAGTGCCGAAATATCGGAGACTCATATAAAAACACATTTATTTGTAGCCATTGTTACAATTTTATTAAAATTATATTAATTTAATCTTACTTTACACGGTATTATTATCACTTTTCACTTTCACTTATTATTCACGTGTACGATGCAGCTAAACCGAACAGAATTAATCTTTATAACGGTGCTGTACTCACAGTAAGAAAAGGTTGTTGAGTCCCGTAGACATTGTAAGTTCCGTATTTCTTGGATGAAGTAAACGGTTAGGTAATATACGAGTAAGTTACCAACTCCGTCGAGTGTACTTTCTGCTTCCTTATGCTTCGTTGTGATGCTCTTTGGTGACTTTGATTTGATGTGTCGAAAATTGGATTTTTGACGTGACAACGTCTTAAATTAGGTTGCGGCTGGGAGTCACTTATGAAAAAGTGTAACGCTCGGTAACGTTACGATGAGTCTCTCGTGTTAAGTTTAAGTTTACATGTACAATGTTTTAGTAAACAAAATATATTTCTATAGTTAAAATTTGTGCAATTCTTATTTTCATTCAATTCCTTGTTCCTATTGTGCAATTTAATTATATTCATATCAATAAATATTCTACCGAGAAAAAGACGTTGTCACGTAAAATCTTCGCCCGTAAAACCGACTTTACAGGCAACCATTTTTTTTTCCATTTGAATTTCAATAAAAACTCGGTGATTTTCGTATTTCCCTTTATGTAATCGATGAAATGTATTTAACAGTTCAAGATATATTTTTACAAGTCATTACGATATTGTTTAAAGACTACGCTACTACAGTAGTAGAAAAATGTGGTAGGATTATTTATTTGGGTGTAGTCGCTCCAAACATTGCGGTCACTGACTCACCTCACCTTCCGTCACTCACTCAATGTTTAATTTTATTTTTGTTTCGTAACATTATTTAATGTTTTTTATTATTAATTTAAGAATAAAGTGTTTCTTACAAAATGATATGTGTGTTGTGAGGTGAACAGTGATTTGTTACAGCTAGTTCCGCTGTGTTAGTTTATTTGTATCTATTCCGTGGTAAAAATCACTATGGCTGAAAAAGTGAGTATACAAACTGATAATGATATATTCTCATAACTTTCTACGATCAAACAAAGCATTTAAGCTATGGAATTAAAACCTCTCTAATGCATGAAGGCAAACACTTGTTTGAGCAACAAAAAATGTACCACCTGTCATGTTGTCACACAAAGCATTCACTGAATTACACTACTATTTTTTGGCTATCTTGATTAAATTAACATGTGTATTATAAATTAAAATTTGTTTTGGTATGCACACTTAAAAATTATTTGTGATTATCTTATTATAGTGTTTTGAATTATGTTAGTTGTTACTAATTGTGCATTTTCTCCTTTTACATTAAATTTGCATAATAAAGCCTAAATAAATAAATAAATTTAATTGGCGTAAGTGGCGTTAAAATAATGGTTAGTGGTCTTGTTTATGTTTTGATAGTATGATACATTTGAAATATACATTACAAAATTATTTTGTGGCAGTCACAATGTTGCCAAAAAAAAGGAGAATAAAATAATAGAATAATTATTAAAAGTAAAATTCTTCTTTAAAGAAGATCATGGAAAGAATTGATGTTAGACAATTAGCCTCCAAATATTTATAAACTTATTTGATTGAATTGACAAAAAAAATTTCACTATCATAATCTAATTTAACAGAAAATACAAGAAAACCCTCTTTCCGAGGAGCAGCAATCTCCAGAAACAGCAGATGGACCAAAAGAAGCACCAAAGCCAGTGGACAAACCTTCAACACCTGCTCCGGTCCCAATCACAGAACCATCTCCTCGGATCACCATACCTTCCTTTACAAAGACTCAGCCTAACGATTTGTACAGAAGACTCTTGCCTGCTGTCCTGTTTCTTCTTACATTCGTCACAGTGATGACTATGCTCTTGATTTATATGGACACTGTTGGTAAGTTTATATATGAATGTTTTTTGCTCTTAAATTTATAATAAAAAGAAGAAATAGAGATTTCTAGAGAGTCCTACTAAACAAGTTATCGCATATTAACTGGTTGTGAAAATGGTTCACAAGAATCCCTTTTGTATATGGAGTGAATAATAGATAAAATTATAATCTTAATGGGTATAAGTGTAACATGGTTGCAGTTTGTCAATTATAAAAATTAAAGGTGGCAGATGATAGTTTTTTTACTGATACTGCAAAAAATTTAAAAATAATCTGCAATAAAGGCAATACTGATAAGCTTTTACCTTAGATTTATTTATCCTTTCTTTAAGAAGTTTTAGCACATCAGACAGATACTGTGAGTGACTTTATTCTAAACTGTGTTATAAGTATAAGTTGTAGTAGTAGTTGTAGCCTGATTGGTATTTCATCATAAAATATGAAATTCCTAAAAGCAAGGACATAATTACAAAACAAGACATAATTTTAAGGATCCTCGAAGCTATTAAAGTGATAAAAATATACTTTAAGTTAGCTGAAGTGGTTTGATCTCAGCCCTCTAGCATGAGCATACCAATATCTAATATGATTCATTTCATTCATATCATCATGCTCAATTGTTAAATTACTATAGAGCATGCTATGAAAAACTTGATATGATTTATATTGTGATGCTCTTTCTACAGGGACTGGTCAATTCAAGTTAAGCAAGCGAAGCGATTGTCTGCACATCAGGCAAATCATGAAATGGCTGCTTCTCATGATATACCTAGGAATTACATGATTTGAAGAATGCATCATATAGTATAAGACTGTAAAGATGTAACTGTCGAATAGTCATCAGTCATCAGTCATACAGAGTTACTTAATGCCTATTTCTTTTAAAATAATATTCATGAAGGTAATATACTTGACAATGACACTAAGTAAAGATGATTCATTTATTGATCAATTGATAAAAGAAGAAATACCAATAATAAATTAACTAGTTAAGGTTGAATTGTTCATCATTGCCCAATGATATGGGCATAGTTTTGAAATGTACTTGATATGAAGTTATCTCAGGAAAACACTGTTGGTTTTCTAAGAAAATAAACAAATAAATATCACAAACACTGACAATGTTTGACCTGTGCTCAGCAATAGATGTCTTTTGGTTGAATGATGAAACATAGTTTGGGGTGGATGCAGCACTGGGTGCTCCAAAGTTCCATTTGAACATGTATTGGGACTACGAGTTGTTGTTTGCTTACTTGCTTGATGTCGTCAGTCCATTGTGAGGGGTTTACCGACACTGCGCTTCCTGGTACAGGGTCGCCTTTTTTTGATGCACCTTGAGACCCCAACGTTGCTCGCTACGCCAAATAATATATGAAATTGAAGTAGCGCAGCTTCATGAATGAAGAAGACTGTCTAACCTCAAACTGAACGCCCCTCCGTTGTATGACTGTTACATGCACAATCAGTGTACAGATGCAACACTCTCAAATAAGCTATAGTCATTCAGTTGATTCAATCGCTGGCTAGACATGAATGTGGCAACATGCTTCTATCACTCATAAAAGTGAAATGAATTGATTTATTTGCTGTATCTGAGGAGCCGTCAATATGTCCTTGGCAGCCAACAGAATTTATCTAAATGATGTTTATTTTGACTGAAATATACTGCTATTAGTAAAAAAATGTTATAACATTACTGTAAGTCATAGATCCCAAGAGAAGTCGTCCTTCACCCATATTCTGCTAACCAGACCAAAAGAATGTTTATCAAATATTTTTTATTAAAATTGTTCATGACATTTTCATTAACAAAAAATGACTAAAAACATTTAATTAAACAATTAAATGGGTTTAAAAAGTGCAATTTTAAAAGTATACTTAGACGTAAAACCTCCTACGCCAATTTTATAACAAAACATGTTAACAAATCAACTTTTATCTAATCGCCGTTAGTAAAACTGTTAGGCCACGCCACTGAACGGTTAACATTCAATGTTACCGTGTTAGCAAACACGAAAACACGGCGCATACGATCAATATATCTAGGATGCATATAATGTATCACCATGGTTGGGAGTTCAAAAATGTTGCGGCATGACTGCAAGATGAATATCGCTATAATAAAATTATCGGAAAACCACGTATCCCGATGAGATGATTAAGACATTTTCAATAAAGTAAGGGGAACTGGGTGACGTCATAATGATGCACGACCATGACGCTTTTAGGATGTAAATATATATATATATATATTATAGATTTGTTACATTAGATATATAAATTTTAAACAAATAAATTATAATAGATATTAAATTAAATAGCAATATTAAGTGTGGAAGGGCATTCAGTTTTGGATTCGATCGATACGATAGAATAGGATAGCATAGGGTACGATCTCTACCTATGTGGTATAAACTTAACTCGGAAAAACACCTTATGGTTTTCTAAAGAAAAGAAACAATTTGTTGTTACGGCAGCGCTAGGCGCTCAACAATTCCGCTTGAACATGTCGCGGGACTACGAGTTGTCGCGCATCTCTCAAGAGTCAGCTGCGCTGGTGGCGTACGTGAGGCAGCTGCACCTGCAGCCGCGCGCGCCCCGCCACCCGCCGCCCACGCCGCCGCCCACGCCCCGGGCCGAGCTGCTACTCAAACTTACAAATGACTTGGTGAGTATAACAACTAGAGTACAATGCGACAGGGATCTTTATGAATGTGAGTGACAGTTCAGGGAGGGTGCCACTGGTGTCAATTCTGACACGATTCTCTAAACCTAAACTTAAATTTGACAACAGTGTAGCCTTGTCATTCTCTATACGGAATGAAAAGATTGATGTTAAATTTAGTTTTAAGTTTAGAGAATCACGCCAGAATTGACACCAATGTAAATGACCGTAAATAAATATGTCGCACTATAGACAAATTATGTGTATTCAGTCTAACTAAAGGCGCATTTACACTTTGTCGTTAGCCCAAATACGATTGCCTATGGAATTCGGACAAATGACTAAGTGTAAATAAACGGAGTCGAGTACGCACGTATTCGTTTTGGTTCCCCACAAACTGGCATCACTGAGGTACGTTCCAACTAGAAGGCGGGTGCAGAGTCGTTTGCCCGTTTTCCAGTACGCGAACGTGATTAAAACAATGTAATTATTGCATCGGGTGTCCGAAATCGAGTAATCTTTTGTGCGAATACGAGCTAACAACCAAGGTGTAATTGCGCCTTTATCTAGCCTGATACCTAGGTCGAGTTTATCGTTTCTAATAAAATTTTCTTCATATACTTTTATTTCAAATATTGGCCATCGCGCTCGATGACACTCACATAAGCATGACTAGGGAGGGCAGGGTTGAAAAATGCCCACCCTAGAAATCTCTGTCCGTTCTAGAATCTGAGCTTCGTATAATAAAAAAAAAACAACGAATGTAAGGTGAATGGACTTCTGCCCACCCTAGGCAAAATCGCCATCGGTTCGAAAAACTACGGCAAAAGAACTTGTACTGAGAAGAAATGGCAAGAAACTCAGCAAGAGCTGTATTAATTTTCTCCCTGTACTATTATTTACAGAGTCGTCAAGTTGAAAAAATAAATGTCTTCAGAGATGACTCTTGAAGTCACCTTTCATTATTAATGTGAAATGTACATTAATTGTTCACCTGCATTTTGTACATTACACATTAATTTGTACATTAATTGTTCAGCGGTTTGAGCGTGAAGAGGTAACAGACTGACAGACATACTTACGCGTTTATAATAATAGTATGTTTTTGTTGACCCGCTTTTGAAAATTAAGCGCCTTCTTCTTATGGCTACCGGGTGATAAACAAAAATTTATCGTTTCCAGTTCCTCCGAGCTTCGTTGGTCACGGCATATGGCACGCGTTCCCTTGCTACAGCTGTAGGTACCCTTAGCACGAACCAATATCTAATTCGTTGCGTTTGCAAGTGCGAAATGTCACTGTCAAATTTTGTATGGAAACTTTAACAGCAGCGCCACAACGGACTTAACGAGAACTAATAATCAGTACATATTTGACGACCTCAACTATTCCAATTCGATAATGGTTCGTACCAAGGATACTGCCAGCGGAGATGAGTCTGCCCTAACTACTTTGATATTTAAGATGTAAATGTTTAGTTACACCTATTATAAATAACTCTATTTGTATTTATTCTGTATGACACAGCAATCAAAATGCAGGTGAACAATTAATGTATAATTTCACATTATGTAATGAAAGATGACTTCATGAATCAATTCTGAAGTCATTTTTCAACTTGACGACTCTGTAAATAATAGAACAGGGAGAAAAAAACAGCTTTTGTTGAGTTTCTTGCCGGTTCTTCTCGGTACAAGGTCTCCCGCCGTAGACTAAGCTGGTTAAGCGATTTAAGAACAGTGCTTCGAAGACAGTAGCACGAAACATTGACCCGCCAACTAAGTAAAAAGCGCGGTGCTTTTTACTAACCACATAGAGCTCATTGATGCCACCTTTTTATTTGCATTTGAACAATATAATGCAATATAATTTCATGGCTGCATGAAACTACGATTGTTATTTACGAACCGATGGCGTAACTTCTAGACTATGTGATTTCTGTATATATGTGTGTGTATATGTGCTTGTAACAGCCTAAACTGAATAAACGTTTTTGATTATAATCACTGTACGGTTATATCGGTGCAGCACAACGGGACGTTTGTGGAGTTCCTGTCGCGCGGGCCCCGCACCCCCACCACTCTGTACCTGGAGGGGGCGCGCGGGTGGGAGGGGCCCGCGGTCAGGGCTGCCGCGCGCGACTACCTCGCGTTACGCGGCCGAGCGAGAGCGCTGCACGCCTGCCTCAGCCCTGGACCGCACCCTAGAGAGGTGACACTTTATTTATCTTAACTCCTACTCCTAGCTCTATGGCGCAGGTTGATAGCGCGTTCGGCCTGCGATCGTGCAAGTTAAGCAACTTTCGCAATGGTCAGTCATTGGATGGGTGACTAAAAACTTATTATCTCGAGCTCCTCCGTGCTTCGGAAGGCGCGTTAAGCCTTTGGCCCCAGCTGCATCTGCAGTCGTTTTTATATAAGCACAAATTTCATTCCTGATTCTCCACACAAACTGCCACCCCGCTTTTCAATCCCATAAAGAAGTTTTGAGAGTTTTGGAATATTAACTATCTAATGTCCTGTACCGGGCGAGTCCCGGTACAGAACTTCCTATAACAAATTTCATCTCAGCTGGTTAAGCGATTTAAGAACAGTGCTTCGAAGACAGTAGCAGGAAACATTGACCCGCATACTAAGTGACCGCGCTTTTTATTAACCACGTAGAGCTCAGTGTTGCCACCTTTTTATTTGCATTTGAACAATATAATGCCTACCATGGCTGCATGAAACTAAACCTTTTAAAAAGGGAACATAACAAATGAATAATGTTTGTGGCTGTTGGCAGGTGACGTACCAGGAGTCTGAAGGCCGCGAAACGTTCAAATCACGCGTGCTATGTCTCCCCCTATACACCGTGTTACTAGCAGCCGACGCGGCGCGCGCTCATTACGTGATACTAGACGGGCCTCATGCGTTGCCCGCCTTAAAACACGTGCCTTTCGACGGACACTCAGTACACTTGCAGGTAAGTGCTTATTCAGAGTGCCAGAGCGGGAACAGGCGCGGGTGCGGGCGCGCGGGTCTTGGCGTCTTCATGTTCACAGTGGTAGAGCGGCTGAGAGGCTTAACGTACGCGCGTTATACGGTTCTAAAACTTCGCGCTTTCTACTAGGATGAAGATTTGATTTTATTAATGGAAAATTAATTTTAAAACTGGGGAAAAAACTATGTGAAGAAATTACGGTAATCATACATCTATACATGAAATGAATAAAGGACGAGAAGGATTGGGAGAATTTAATGTACCATACGCCGATTTTCGGAGTAACCCAGACTTCTGCGAATACACTAGAAAGACAATAAATACATTTGATTATAAATTAAATAAGATCTCAACACATTTGATAATTAATAAAATATATAAATTCTTCTGTATCGATTTCCATGTTGCCGCGGGTGAATCAAAAAGGTTTGGAATCAGACGCGTCAGCCACAGAAAGACGCTGGAGCACTGTGAAAGACACAGGCGGATTGAGCCAATAGAATCACCCGCGCGATAGTCACGCTACCCGCACCCACCTATGCAGACGCCCATACGCGCGACCACTGTGTCTAGATACATTTGATCTACCCGCACCCGCGCCTACTAGGTACATTTCCAGGTTTTTTTTTTACACACACCATTTAGCGTAGCCCTAAAGTAAGCACTGTAAGGCTTGTGTTTTTGATGGTAGGGTAACGGATAGAATACATATACAGTACATATATAAGTATATTTATATAGAAATACATATTAAACATCCATCCATTTGACTGGAGTACAAATGCTCGTGTTCATCACACAAACATCTGCCCTCACCGGGATTCGAACCCGGGACCTCTCGAGTCGGCGACACCATGAAACACGGCGTACAAACCACTCGGACACGGAGGTCGTAAATTACACCCCTCTCGCAGGTGAGTACATTAGAACCTAGCTAGCAATCTGATTTTCTTTACCCTATTGTATTGCTTTAGTATCCTTATTTCCAAGTACTTTTACATTAAAAATGCCTACATTTTTCCTTAGATCATTGAGGTCCGTTCGACTGACCCTGTGGCTAGGAATCAAACCACTGAATTCCTAGCGACCAAAAACTACACAGTGGTCGCAACATACGACGATGGCGTCATGTACGCACTCAACGACACCACTACAAACTTCGACAACGACACGCTGATACGTGTCGCTAACGACATGACGACACGTCTCAATAATGACATGACGACAAGTGTCACTAACGACGTAACTACACGTGTCATTAAAGACGCGAAGACTCGTGTCAACTACGACAACACAGAACCAGACCGTGTGCATGTATGATTTTGATGACTACAAAATTAAATGTTTCATTGTTTAATAATAATATTTGGCAGCAATTTATGAAATTATTAATCGGCTCAATTGAAACTTTATGTGACATATTTGCTCTTTTCAAGTTTGCAAATTTTCTATTAACACTTGGCACTCATAGACGTACTTTGTAATTGTAGTAACATCAGTTAACAATAATGTTGTGTAATTAATTATATTTATATTACGAATAAATCCATGACGTAGCTAGGGATTTTACCTAGGGGGGGGGGGGAGCCGTATAGTTTACATTCATACTGAAATTCAATAATTTTCCAACATTGGAATTTTATAATATAATCGCTCTCCAATAGCTACGCCCATGGTTAAATCGAGTTCAATAATATGTGGATGTTGATAAGTGCAATGTTGTCCCAATGAAACATTTTCCTAACTTATACGATATGACACAATAATTACCCCTTCGGGCGTCTACGAAACCGTAGTGTAATAAGAAGAATAATTCCTTTACTGAAACTAGTTACGTATAAGGAATAATAATTCCATTATCGAAACCAGTTACGAAAGTACGGTTTCGTAGGCGGCAGAAGGGATAATTACTGGAGTAAAATAAAAAATGCTCACATATTATCATCTCGACTGTATCTTTTATATGACTTTCTTACTCATTTATTAGGTTTAAAATATTTAGTATATGAATGACTTACTCGCCATAACATTAATTTCTTGCAACCTGAATGAAATAAGTTTATAATTTTAATAGATTGTCATCAAAAATTTTAATTGTAGCCTCGTATCTCATGTATGTAGATTGTGATAAGATAAATGAACTGCATTGCCCTTCTATGTATAATTCTATTATCGATGTTCATTGATTTATGAACAAGAAAAAATAACACACTAGTGATTTTCGGTTAATGTAACACATTATGTTTTCGAATAAAATTTAAACAAATAATTAATGTAGAAATAATAATGAAACATTCAACTGCTTCGAATATAATACAATGCTCAATGAATTAAAATGAGCAATACGTAATGGTTTGCTCAAATTGAAATAAATTGGACACATTTCTTTAAAGAATAAAATTTATATTTTCGTCACATTATATTGTGATTGTATAACGTATATAATATATCTCGAATATTTATTTGAATCTATTCCATGGCTGATTTTACATAATACTTCTGTTCTGTCATTAGTTAATTTTGCAGAAAGTATTTAAATACTTTGAAATGATAAACAATTTTGAAATAATTACGAATATCGTATTTTATGTATTAAATAATAATTATTGTGATTCTATCTCTGTAAAGAATCTCCGTTTTATTTCCCCGATTTGCATTAATAACTTTTATTATAATAATAATATTTTTTTATTAATTTTAAGTTTATAATAATTAATTTTGAATCGTGATTTAATTTAAGAATAATTTTAATTATATTATGTAATAGTTAATTTTGATTTTAATTAGATAGGTATAATACACGTATAATAAATATCATGGATTAATTTTGGATACAAATTGTATAAATTTTTCGTCATGGTAACTTCACAAAATGTGCCTTACAAGGTTATGGCCCCCTGTTTTATAACAAAATAATAATTTATTTTACATATGACACTCCATTTTAAATATATTCGATTAATATAATGTTCACTAAACATTAGTTACATTGCACAATGTTATCTGCACTTTATTCCTGAAAATAGGTACCTTTTTGATAGCTGAGTAGGTAGCTTTTTGGTTTAACTTGAAGATGTCAAACAAACATTACAAAAAGCTCTTTAGTTTAAGGGCAGAACAATATTTTATTAACAACGAATATATGCGTTTTGATACACCTCTTGTTCAATCAATTTTACCAACAACGGAATAAAGAATGCGTTTGCGTTTAATGTGAAGAGTTGTTTCTGCGCGTGCACCTTAATGTTGCCATTTATAACGTTTTAAATCAAATAAATTTATTCCTTAATGACCCATCAAAGTTTGTTTCGTGATATCTTCAAGTATATGACGCAGGGCCGGATATAAGGAGGCAAGCGGGGTCCCCTCTCAACAGAGATAACAGATAACTAAATTTTGACGGGTCACCAAGGTGCAAAATGTAAGTGGCCTTGGCTGCTACATTTTAAAATAAGGGATTGCACTAATTTTTTGCCCCGGGCCCTGCACACCTCTTAATCCGGCCCTGAATGACGACAGAAGTTGTGGGACAATACATAGCGTCTTCGTCTTGAGAAGTTTGTTTGTACTGGTAAGTTAGCAGGTGACTGGCGGAAGCGCACAAATTAGCACTAAGACACTCTTTGGTATGAACCATAGACAGAGTATGGACTGTGCGTTCCCTAACCAAATGTCAAATAAAACTGGGAGATAAGTGTGAGAGAGAGACGAAACGATTAGTTGGTCCACAGTTCGTCTGTTCATTAGTTATTTTTTAAATCTTTCTAATGAGTTGTATACTTGTAAGTGTCGCTCAATCCATTCTCTTGTCTATGGTATATGAACGAATGATTCACAGAGAATCGATGTTATTAAAGTCTTGAAGAGTTTATCACTTGATCTGACTATAACACTAATCAAATTTACACAAATCCACTATACGAAATTATTTCACAGTATTAGTCCACCCCAGAAAACATATGAGGTAAAATGTTATGTTAAAATAACACTACCGTTGAATAAATATACTGTCTGTGACTGTTTGTTAACGCGTTAGCAAATAGAAAACTGACTTTAAAGTTTGTTACAGACTGGCTGCAGTTTCGTGCCCATTGCATCATATTTTTTGAACTGTTTTTCTTTTTAAATTTTTACATTTTCCCGACTTTCGGATCCTTTAAAGGTTCTGTGTACTCGTGTACATAAAGTATAACATTGTCGTGGATGTTATACTTTAATTTACCTATTCCTTCAATTTTAAATTTGTTGATTTTAAGAATGAACACCTGTCGCTAGTAGCGAATAAAGTCTACTACAAACTCCGTAACAATGACCAAACGTAACGTCAATGTGTGCGTGACAGAAATGTGAGCGCTTTGGTGGTGTAATTTTTTATTTTGTAGTTATAATGCAGCCAGTCAGTAATAAGCCGATTAATCGAATATTATTGAGTAATAAAAAAGTTCTTTCGTCGAAATACAAAAGTTTGAAAATGAAATATACTCTGTTTTTGCTCTCTGAGACGGTAAAGCATTTATAATAATTGTTAGATAAAAACACTTTCAATAATAAATTATTGTAAGATCACTCTTATGAGCGTAATCATATATGGTTTCGTTTTATTATTGGTGTCGTACTGCCATTCTTTGTTAGTTTCTTGTCTATTTCTGCCAAACTTTGTGATTTTAATGAAAATTACAACTTAAGGCCATATAAATAAATGCTATTTATCTTAACAGCGAAATTCCAAATTTGTACCAAATTTTTATGGTTTTTATACGTCTGTATTTGGTAGAGTTGTTAAAAGGGTAAGGTAACACGGCGTTTAATTATTGTGAGTGAGAGTTAAATAACAGCTCCGCCATTTTCAATCCCATTTTTAAATTGATACTCTATATATATATACTCCTTGTTTTGAATGTAAGAAAATTCACATACCAAGTTGTGGATCAACGGTGGTCATCAAATCTATCACGGTTGGCGCGGTTAATAGAAATAATATCTAAATTTGTTGAAATCAAATTGTTTATGATGGGGAGGGGGGGGGGGGGGGGCAACAGATGAAATAACACTATAAACTCTACAATTGCGATGCGATGCGGATATAGCGAGCACAAAGAAATAATAAATTAAAACTTTGAGAACTAACATAAAACGTATCTAGTGCCTTTGATCAATTCTAGGCAATCTATTGACTGCTTCTTTCGATTTCAAGTTTTTGATGCATATTTGGGACTTGTAAAATAGCTTTATTTATATAGGCCTTATCATTGACTACAACATACCGTAGTCGTGTATACATCTTGTATACGTTTTATTTTATTCAATAAGAATATGTAGGATATGATTTTAGTTCTATCGATTTATTTTATGATAATTTAATGATTGTTTTATTTTCCATGATTCCATCCAAACAGTTATTTTTTATCATTACATTAATAATAATAATAATATGATCCGATCTGTTAACTTTTTATTATTTCATTAATAATATATAATTTTATAATTAGTATACAACAATAATATTATGTAATATTTTATTTTTGTGAACAGATAAATTTTATCTATTGATTAAAATTAAAAAGCCCCGATCGCTTTTATGATTTTGTGTCATTCCAATTGTGTTTTGGATTCTAATTTTCTAGTGATTTTAAAGACTGAATAAGTATTTATGTCGCCGTGTTTATTTCTTTTTACTATTGTAATTTACAGTATTATTTTGTTTCCTTATAGCGAGTTTAGGAGATCACAAGATTCTTAATTACGAGACTATTAAATAGATATCTCTAAATATGAAACTGTAAATTAGAAAAAAGCTCAGTGGTGTTAAATTCCGTAGTCCATCAGTAGGTTATTTTCAAAAACCCTCCATTTGAAAAATATTTAAAACTGTGTTACGACCAGTTTTTGTCTGTGATTTGATGATGATGGTTACCGAGGAACTTATATACTAACTGGAATGCTTGCGAAACAATATGGGAATTCAAAAAATGTACTCTGACTAGTTAGTAGACATAAGGGGGAAAAATACTCCTAGCGCGACGCGAGAATCTGTCCCTCTCTTACAACTGTTTGGGCACACTACTAGAACGAGACAGATTCCACCAATTCAGCTATGCTCTTGGAACGATTTTGAGGGTCGCGTAAGCATTCCAGTAAGTATATAAGTTCCTTGCAGGCTGCTAAACATGTGATGACACACCGTGTGCGTTGTGTCCGTGACAAGTTCTCGGCGGAAGTTATTTTCACGTTTCAGGGAATTTTACGGACAAAAGTGCCTCGTCTGCGCAGGCAATTATGCTTACAAAACAAACTATAGAAGTCACACACAAAACTGCGATTCGACGTTGTATCCTAAAATTATAAGATCGCACGACTACATAATATTTGACGACACCTAGCCACCAAAAAAAAAATTATCGCATCGATTCGCAGTTTCGTGATTGCACCCTTGGATTCAGTTTGGAGAGCGCCATTTGTTGGCATTTGAGCATGTACGTTATAAAGGCGAGCGGTGCAGAAAACGTGTACAGAACAAACTATAGAAGTCACACACAAAACTACGATTCGACGTTGTATCCTAAAATTATAAGATCGCACGAGTCCATATTTGACGACACCTAGCCACCAAAAACTTTTTATCGCATCGATTCGCAGTTTCGTGATTGCACCCTTAGATTCAGTTTGGAGAGCGCCATCTGTTGGCATTTGAGCATGTACGTTATAAAGGCGAGCGGTTCAAAATACGTGTGGTGTGGAATCTTGTGATATATTCGATGACTAAGAACATTACGTGAACATTTAGTTATTATAATAATCATTAATTTAGTCTAGTTTAGTTTTAAAAGCTTCAGTTCTTAGTTTTGTATGCGCTCAATTTTTTCACGAATAAATTAATTGCTTAAATCATTGTGGTTTTTTATTATTACCACAAAGCAGTCCTAACTCCTCCTGGAAGTAAATTATCTGACACCATTTTTTTGCGATCTTCAAAGCTAAACAAGTATTATGTGACAAGGTACATTATAATCCGTCAACTGTGTAAGCAAAACAGCGCTCTAAACGCTGTCTGTGCTAGTCCTCCACTTTGATTTTCACGACCGGAAAATAAAAAAATCCGGCCGATTTTCTTCTTATTATTTGAGTTCTACTGTACATCCATTCATTTATGTCGTAAAGCAATTCTGAATAGTTTCTCTACAAACTTCGATGGCATGATTCTCAAAAAGTAAATTTTACATCACTCGTTTTCATTTTGTATAGCAAATGACAAGGATACACTGTTGCCAAATCTAAGTTTAGGTTTAGATAATGATGCCAGAATCGACACCATTATATGTGTAAATTAAAAACAATTACTAAATATGATAAAACGCAAAATATGAATAATTTTCTCAACTCGTGGCACAAATGTGCCATCTCCACAGACAGGGGTTTTTGACGTTGGCAGAAAGCTGCCATTTAGCACCATTTACATACAGACCAGGAGCTCTACTCTCTTTCTCCGAAACGAAATTTCGGTAACGAACGAATTTCAAACGAAATTTCGCCAGTGTCTCTACTCTATTTCATTTTCGAACAGGCACATTAACTTCGGAACCATAAACAGTTTTCGTGAACGAATGGAATGAGTCATGTTTGTGAGTTCTTTTTATTTCTACTTTTAAGAAAACGTTTTTTTTACTTGGAAATAATATAGGTAGTTTACGGCAAATTTTTTGATGACATTAAAAGAACCTTCTTTGACAGTGTTAGCCGACTAATTTGTAGAGTCGATACAATCTACAGTATGTCAACCTCAATTTGTCGTTTAATACTTTGAAGTATCGAAATTACAAAAAATAATAAAAAAATGGTTTATTTGTTAATTTTACATGCTAAAAATGTTACTCGAGCTAAGCAGCTATTATTAAAAATACTATTGCAAGTATTTTAGACTTAATTAAAACAAAAATCTCAAAACGAAAATGAAAAGGTAACACTTTTCATTTCGTCGATTTGAGGTTAAAATTTCGAACAATTATCTGTCAAATTCAACTTTTCCTTCGAAAGTTTTGTGAATTAGAGTAGGCTTGGAGAATTTAATTGTCAAAATATTTCGGACGAACGAATTTTCGAAATGAAAAGGAAACAGAGTAGGGAACGTGCGAAATTTCGATCGACATTTCGTTTTTCGTTGAAATAGAGTAGCCTCCAGGGGATACGAAATGAAAGATATCGGAAGGAGCAAAACCTGGGGCCCAATTCTCGCGGCATAGACATTATATCACCTTCGATATATATCGAATGATCTGGCTTTTATCGAAGGAAAACCTTTTTGCCCTATTCTCACCATATCGCAATAGATATTTATCTACGGATGATCAGTAGACATACATCGACTGGAAAAGAGCCTTCGATATATAAATATCTATGGATCTTGGCATGTCAATCTTGTTATTTCCACTTTTTTTACTTATTATTTATTGTGTTGTCGTGTTGTTTTTGCCAATTATTGTTACCTCAAGATGTTGTTAACTGCCTTCATAAATAATTAGTAAATAAAGAAGTAGGTAAACAATGGTGTCGATTCTGGCGTGATTCTCTAAACTTAAAACTAAATTTAACATCAGTCTCTCTTTTTCATTCTGTATAGAGAATGACAAGGAAACACTGTTGTCAAGTTTAAGTTTAGATTTAGAGAATCGTGCCAGAATCGACACCAGTTTATATTAACGATGGATCAGTTGATTCATGTTTTCGTCAATGCTTTAATAAATGACGTGATTGCTGCTGCTGTGCTAAGGCGCCGCCGTCGTGAGAGCAAGAGGGCCCATTTGAAATGAGGGACGCCGACTTCATAAAAAAATTACGTTTAAACAAAAATTTGGTTAGAAATCTTTAAAGTTATGAATGACATTGGTATCGATTCTGACACGAGTCTCTAAACTTAAAACTAAATTTAACTTCAGTCTCTCCTTTTCATTCTGTATGGAGAATGACAAGGATACACTGTTGTAAAATTTACGTTTAGGTTTAGAGAATCATGCCAGAATCGACACCATTTTCTTATTGACGATACGGAGTTTTGGCGGGATTTCTGCGAGTGCGGTTGGCATCTTATTTTAATTATTCTAAAATTCGTTCAAAGTGGATATTATGAAATGAAATTGGTGTGATTGGGTGTTACAACCGTCTGCGCAATTGAAGAATTAGTGGAATCTTTAAAATATACGCTATTCCCGTCAAGTGGACGCGAGAACTTTATTGTAGTGTTGACTACCTCACAGAAGCTTAGAGAAAAAGCCAACTCCATAAACGTGCCAAACACTAAAAGAAACATTAGAATGCGTCACACCGGCATTCGAATGTAAAAAAAAGAAGATTAATATAACTAAAGACTAGGCTTTATGGGCATTGTTCCCTTTGCCTTCCCTGAAAAGGGAGAATCTTAAATAATATTGACGTTTCATTATACATAACGTTGAAATTATATACGCATACAAATTAGGTAAAATTTGAGATTTCTTATACTCAAAAAATGTATACTCATATTTAATATGAATGGAATTCATAAAATATCATTTTGTTGCTTGTAAAATTCTGCTCTAATTTATTATTATTTTATATAGACTATGATGTTAACTTAATCGAGAAAAACGGAACGCATTCGTCGGTGAAAGAATATCTACGATAGATATAATATCATTGGAATATCGAAAATCCACGAGAATAGCATTTTTTACCATCAGTAGATATTTTCAATAGATATCCCTCCTTTCGATATTATCTCGAAGCCGATATAATATCTATGCCGCGAGAATTGGGCCCCTGGACTTAATTTATACGCGGAATGGAATATTTGTAACATAATGAACTGCATGTTAATGGTATAAAAACTAACGACCACTCAAACTAGTTTTAGTTGAATCGAGATTTAGCAAATGGGCCCAAGACTAATAACTATTAGATTAGAACCAGATTATTTTTATCTTTTACCAGAGGTTGATTATTGCCATAAATTTATCTATCGATCGATCTCATTGATCGACAGTACCTACATGGATCTGTACCCCTAGCACAAACCAATATCGAATTC